CCCGGTCTCCCCTCCGCCCTCCCCCTGCAGCCTCCTCTCCAGCCTTCCCCTGCGGTGACATCACCGGGTATAAGATATGTAATGAACACGGAATCATGTGATTGGCATGTTGATGAGAGGGGGGGTGGGGAACGGCGGCATTACACTGAACCTGCTTGGAAAGTGTGAATGATGATGTAGGATGGTGAAGACCCCGCCCCCTGAGACCACGCCCCTTACCTGGTGACGCCATCGGAACAAGCTGGCGGTATCAATGTTGGGATGGGTGTCATCTTCATCGTCAGAGACTTCGATGTGATCCCACACGCTATAGTCAACCATTGTACACGTATGTGAGGTGACTGCAAAGACAGGAAGCAGAGCGTGAGCTCCGGATCTCAACATGTGAAGAACATGAAACATACAACGGACACGTATACCAGAGACCACCGCTTCCAGTAGAGGGCCACGCCTGGAAGAGACCACCGCTTCCATTAGAGGGCCACGCCTGGAAGAGACCACCGCTTCCAGTAGAGGGCCACGCCTGGAAGAGACCACCGCTTCCATTAGAGGGCCACGCCTGGAAGAGACCACCGCTTCCATTAGAGGGCCACGCCTGGAAGAGACCACCGCTTCCATTAGAGGGCCACGCCTGGAAGAGACCACCGCTTCCATTAGAGGGCCACGCCTGGAAGAGACCACCGCTTCCATTAGAGGGCCACGCCTGGAAGAGACCACCGCTTCCAGTAGAGGGCCACGCCTGGAAGAGACCACCGCTTCCATTAGAGGGCCACGCCTGGAAGAGACCACCGCTTCCAGTAGAGGGCCACGCCTGGAAGAGACCACCGCTTCCAGTAGAGGGCCACGCCTGGAAGAGACCTGCCCTTCCAGTGGTACTTTGGTCTGCAGACAGGAAGTGAGCAGAAGTCTCATCTGTGGCCATCGTAACGAGCAGATTGGAGTGACAACGTCTCATGTTTTCTTGATGTCGGTGACCCCGCTGGGAAGATTTACCCTCACTTCCTGTCCCAGAGTCAGTGTTCACCAAGACAGGAAGTGAGAGGAAAAACTTCCAGAAAGGACCCGGCAACCTCTG